TCAAGGGACTCAGGATCGCGAACATAAACTTCCTCTAGAGGCCACAATCTTTGAACGCCATCGCACTACACACATCCTAAAATGCCACTCTGGACCAAGAGAAAATCTCTTTGACGGCTTAACTCAAACACTATGTCTCGGTTGCCTCTTACGTGAGAACACTCATTTCAAGATATTTTTCAAATTGGAGCACCTTTTTGCAAAACTTTTTGGAGTCAAAATTTGGGGAGAGAGTCATGCACACATGTCCTAATCTCGATAATAAACAGTATCAAAACAACCAAGAGAAAATGGAAGTAAATCCATTCATTACTTACAAACTCCATAGCAGCACACTATTCTATATAACACACACCATCACAATCATCTAACAATTAAAAGCATAGTGATTAGGTAGGTGCGTAGGAAAAGGAAAGGGGATAAGGGATTCCATGCTTCAATTCCCTATGCACGTTGAAGAATGGCATAGCCTCCCTATTAAAATAACAAACAACTTTGACGAGGTGACAACGCTTCGGATCCACTTCTGAAACTTCGAGTTCAAGTCCATGTTATTTAGGATTTTGAAAAGGCAGCCCCAGCTGACTGAATCGATAGCTTTCTCGATATCTAGTTTGAGGACCAACTCTGGCCTCCCACTCTTTAGTCTACTATCAATTAACTCATAGGCAATAAGACTCGCTTCATGAATATACCTCTTCTTGAGCCCTACAAACTAATTTCGAGAATAATCCTTCCCATCATAGACTGCAGGCGATTGAATAGTAGCTTCAAGATGATCTTGTTTAAAATCCCAATATAGCTAATGGGACGGAAATCCTTGATTTCCTCGGCTGCATCTTTCTTGGGAACAAATGAGCAACAGAGTGATGGAAGTGTTAAAATAAAAAATAAAGTTTAATAAAATAAATATCAGAGAAGTCTAAAAAGTGTCGTGTGTGCATTGTGTTGAAGTGTGTAGAGAATGCAAGTTGGGTTCAGTTATGAGTGTCTTAAAGAAAAAGGGAAAAAAGAATGAAAAGTTAGAACCACAAATGTAAGAGCATCTCCATCAATGCAATTGCAAAAAAAAAAAAAATTGCATTTGTGTTTTTTATAGTTAACTCGATATTTTTGCAATCCACATCACATTCATTTCAATCATCTACATCAATGCAATTACCTTGCAATTGCAAATGTAATTAAATATTATATTTAAATTATAAAAATTTAAGAAAAAGAAAAAAGAAAACAATATACAATAAAAAGTCCCCATTTTTTTAGGCTTTTTTGACTTGCATGTGCAATTGCATTTGTTGCAAGTTTGCATATATGCAATTGGTAGCCACATCAATGCAATTGGTTTTGCAATTACAATATGCCATGTCATTTTGCAATTGAGAATGCAAATCCACTTCTCCAATCTAAGTCCTCTGCCAATCCACTTCTCCAATAAAACAAAATAAAACCCCTTTCATTTCAAAGCTCAATAAACGAGCTAACCCCACCAAAAAGCCACCAATAGTTTTGATTAATAAGGAAATAATTAATTTATTTCCAACAGCAAGACACCAGTAAAGTAGAACTCGTCCATGGCTTTAACAAGGTCATGTTTGAAGTTTGATGATGTTCCACGCCTTGTTGTAGAAATTTAAGGCAAAGCAATGAGGTTCAGGCGCCTGGTCGTCGCCACAGGAACTGAACGCCTCCCAAATTTCCTTTTCAGTAAAGGAATTGGCAATTGGTACGTAACTCTCCTCTAGTCTAAAAAAGTCCTTGAAATTTGCTGGAATAGGTCTGTTGTCGTTGGTTTCGATAAATCTATCAAGGAAAAAATTCACGAAAGCTTGCTTCAACTCCTCTAAATCTTGCACGACCACTCCGTCAACCTTCAAACTCTAGAACTTGTTTCTCTTGCCATTATTATTGGCCACCCGGCGAAAAAACGCAGTGTCCCTAGCATGGAGCCACAATTCCCGAGACTTTTGCCGCCAGGAGATCTCCTCCGTCAAGAGCATTCTACCCAATTCGCATTTAAGTAAACTTCTCTTTGTTAGTTGAATGATGAGTTTGCAAGATGTGAGGGATTTAAGGTAGGAGAAAATGCATATGAAAGAAAGTTCGAGAAACAAAAATGACGACGAGAAAATGTGGACCTATCCTCATACTAATTAAAGTTATAATAGTGTTACTGTAGCATAAGAGATTAGGGCTGGCTATTTGGTCTCGGACTGTTTGGTTTTACCCGAAATCGGATCGTATAATCCGAACCGGACCGGACTGGGACCGGATAGCAAACAATGCAATCTCAAATTCGGGCTTAGATTTGAGGTAAAAAAATCGGATAAAGACCGGATAAGAGACCCCCAACACCTAAAATCAATATAAAATTGGGACCGGACCGGATCAAAACCGGACTGTATCCAATATAATCTTTGGTCCTTATATTCCCAAAAACACCGGACTGGGTCCGGATCAATTTGGTTCAATTTAACCGGACCGGACAGTATAATTGACATCTGACTGCCGCTGGAGAAAGGGTTTTGGCCCATTTTTATATGTATTTTGTAGAAGTTGGTGGCCCATTTTTAATAGCATGAGCTCATTACATTAGAAACAATTATTCTGATAACTAACTACAGATAAGCATGGTCCATGAAATCATACCGTATCGGCGGTTCAACAACAAAATACCAGTATCGGAGGCTAAACCGGTAGGCGGTATTTAAAAAAAACCACAGTTTTGTAAGAAAATACCTTGCCGCTGACTTTCCGGTACGATCTCCGTTACGGTTTCATGGACCATGCAGATAAGAAGAGAGACGAGAGATCGTTTCTTCTAATAGAAGGACAGAGGAGAGATTCTTTCGCTAGAGATGGAGAGAAAATTGTCCTAATTATCTCTGCTTCTCTATTCGACTATTTAAGAACTCGATTAAAAAAACTATACAACAAATCAAGTTCTACCAATTGAAAATAAAGGAGATAAATTAATTAAACAAAATAAGCCACCATAATTAATTATCTCTTCTTCATCGGTGACATGCAAGTCAAACTGACTTGAAGTATTTTGTTTTTTAAGTGGTTGATATGAATTTTTTGCCATTGGAAGAGTGATAAACCCGATTCATATACTCTCCACCACCATAAAGAATAAATATTTCGCCTGCTTGAAATCATTCAAAAAAACTATAATATAATAGAGAGCATGCGAAGTCCAAAGCTAAAAATCCAAAGATTTTTCAAATCTTGGGGTTCAAAAATAATTGTCCACGCCATCCTCAGAAATGCAATCTCATGTAGACATCAAATTGAATGCATTATAAGAGGTTCAAATCCAGATGAGTCATACCCAGAAACCAGACCGAGACCACAACTATATCGTCCATCATTAAGAGGGAGATAAATCCTTCTAAGCCCTTACATGCCACCAAATCTATCCATGTACGGATCTGATTGAGACGACAACATGGCATGAAGCAACACTTGAGGATTTCATATCACTTTCTTTTCAATTTGATAATATTAGTAAATGGTATATATATAATTGAATCATAGATCAATTGGTTGTTAACATAGTATTAGAGTCTTTTGTGACTGAGATATCTTCTGTCTCCGAACCTGTGCAAACTCCAAGCCTGTATGAGTGGCTTTTGTTTGAGGGGGTGTATAAGTAAATGATATATAATTCATAATTAGACCTCTCCCAACAACTCAAATTATTGAGATCAAGTGGTTCTTGATAAATTAAAATAAAAAAGGTAAGATTCATACTTATTCTCACAATTTCGACAAGAGGATGGAGACGGAAGGAGTTGGAGGGATGGAACTTAGACTTCCAATTTAAATTCATCGTCCACGCCCCGTCAGCAGAATGAAATAAGCAAATAGAGGAGAACTTGCCGGTGGAATTATATTAGAAGTGATTAGTTTGGACCAAGAAGATCGAATCAAGCTGTCTTTTCAGTTTTTTTCTTCTTGTGAGGGATAGAGAAGCAAACTTCAATGATCGTGATTGTTTAATATGTAAAACAAGAGCTGGAGGGATTAGGAGTGGACAATGGGTTGGTCCATATCAGACTACTCGGGACCAAATAGATGTTTGGATAGGACTATACCGAATCGAATATAATACGGTTTGGTCCTTGGTCCCATGAATTTTATAAATACTGAAGGAAAATAGACTAAATTGACATTTATACCGAACCAAAGCGGACCGAATTTACTATTGATCTAGCCTTTGATTCTAAGATATCTTTTACTATTAGACCGCGATTCCCTTGCGTTTGAGTTTGATCCGATCCGGTCTAGACCAATGCCCACCCCTAGGAAGCACGGAATGAGGCAAAGAGGTTGTAGTGGTATAAAAAACCTAGGGTTAATTGTATGGTTGGTCACTGAGATTACAAAAAACGTCCAAGTTTGGTCACTCGAAATATTTAAATCCATTGGTGGTACTTCAGTTTACTAAAACCGTTCATGTTTGGTCACTCTCCATCCAACTCCGTTAACTTTTGCTGATGTGACAATCAACTCTAAAAATTGACCGTTAACTTAGTGACGTGGCAAAAAAAATTATTTGAATTTTTTTTATATTTCCACCTCATTATTACATTCTTTAAAAAATAAAAAAATAAAAAAAACCTAATTTTTTTATTTTTAGAAAACGAGACTTGCTTCCCGCAGTCTCTGCCAAATGAGAGAGGGGGTGATTTATTGATTTACCCACAGTAGAGCCACCGCCGCCAGAACGACGTTGTTGGGATCGCTTATCACCAGCCACCCGAGCCTCCACCCAGGAAAAGAAGGTGGGTGGGTGGAGAAGAGAAGAGAAGAGAAGAGAAGAGAAGAGAAGGAGACAATAAGAACGTACATCGAGGACGTCGCGATCGGTGCAGAAACCGCGCCTGAGCATGGTGGCGGCCAGGTAGACAGTGTTGGGGATTAGCGGAAATGTGGTATGATTTAGGATCAACACAAAGGAAACATATGGTGTTTAATCACTCGATTTAAAATACACTCAAACAAACAATGCCTTATACTTTTGGCTATTGCTTTGAACAATCAGAGAAGATGCACTTGGCACACTTGTGCCTTTCTTTCTTTTCTTTTTCTTTCTCTGACACTACACTTCCACTCCCATACGTACAATATATATATATGGAAAAAGAACAATCAATGGCAATTACTACATAGGTCCATGTATACATTATTTTGGCTCCATCTTTCCTTGACATAATTGTAAGCTTATCCTTCCACCATTGATTAATTGCTGCCATGAGATGTGTCTGTAGGAAATCATCTACATTATTTGGATGTTCAAACATCTTCTCACCATGTGGACTTGTTGGATTGCATATAATTTGATAGATAGTTTCAACCCATGAGATAATGTGTTTGTCTCTTTGAGTTGATGGCCATGGGGCATAGTTTGGTGATGATTAATTACCAATTGCAAATTACCTTTTAACACCCCCTCTTAATTTGCTTCCGCTGAGGATAATGCCACAGTCTTATGCTTCTTTGAACTCCAGGAAATGGGTTTTGAACCCAGGCAGAATATGTACCCCGATGTGCTTTTTCGATCATCCAGTGATCCTGCCCAGTCACTATCGGTATATCCAGTCAGCTTGCTTTCTGCTTCTTTCTTGTACGTCAGGCCCAATTTTTTAGTACCTTGAAGATACCGCAAAATTCTTTTGGCTGCTGCAAAATGAAGTTTGCTAGGTTCATTCATAAATCTTGATATAAGACTTACTGAATGACATATATCCGGCCTGGTATGTGTCAGGTAAATGAGTGACCCGACAAGACTTCTGTACAGCTTTCCATCGACTTTTTCAGCTCCATCATTGATTTGTAATTTCTCGTTTAACGCCATCGGTGTTGAGATTGGTTTGCATGTTGCCATGTGAAATCTTTTCAGCATATCTTCGGTGTACTTCTCCTGTGAAATAAATATTTCTCCAGGTGACTGCTTCACTTGGATCCCAAGAAAATATTTCATGACTCCCAAGTCCGTCATCTCGAATTCTTTCATCATGGTACTTTTGAATTCTTCGATCATATGTTGATTTGTACCTGTATAAATCAAGTCATCAACATACAAACAAACCATTAGAAAATCTTTTCCTTCTCCCTTTTTGATGTAGAGAGATGCTTCACTCGGACTTCTTTGAAATCCGTTTTGCTGAAAATATCGATCAATTCTGCTGTTCCAGGCTCTCGGTGCTTGCTTTAGCCCATATAAAGCCTTTCGGAGACGATAGACTTTGTCTTCTTCTCCTTTTTTCTCATAGCCTCGTGGTTGTTCCACATAGACTTCTTCTTCCAGTTCTCCATTCAAAAATGTTGATTTGACATCCAGCTGGTATACTGGTAACTCCAGTTGAGCAGCTAGAGCGAGAACTGTTCTGATGGTCTCCATTCTCGCTACTGGTGCATATGTCTCGTGAAAATCAATACCGGGCTGTTGTGAATAGCCCTTTGCCACCAGTCGAGCTTTGTACTTCTGGATAGTACCATCTTCATTGAATTTGATCTTATAGATCCATTTGAGACCTATAACCGGCTTGCTCTCCGGTTGATCAACAAGCTCCCATGTCTTGTTTTTCTCGATCATGGAAATTTCTGCATCCATCGCCTCATTCCAAACTTCATCTTTGGCTGCTTCTTCAAAGACTTGAGGCTCACAAGAAAAATATGCAACATGACTTGTTTCATAAATTTCTCGCAAAGACCTTGTTCTCAACGGAGGTGAATCCGAGTCTGTTACGACGTCTCTGAAGTTGTCTCCTTCTGGGCTAGGTGCAGAATTTCTTTCTGGACTAGCAACTGGATCTAGGTCGTTGCTGGTGTCTTGTGGAGTTGTTGAGTCCTCCAGAATTTCATAACTTGGTGGAGATTGAGAAATTGGATTTTCCCAATTCCACTCCGCCATCTCATCAAAGATCACATCTCGGGAAACCACCACTTTGTTCTTTACTGGGTTGTAAAGACGATAGCCTTTGGATTCATCACTGTAGCCGGTGAAGATCAGCTTCTCTCCCTTCTGGTCAAACTTGTCTCGGTTTGGGGTAGAAATATGTGCATAAGCTATGCACCCAAAGACTTTGAGGTGATCCACTTGTGGCCTGCGGTGGTGCCACGCATGTATCGGTGTCTTGTTCCGAACTGCTTTGGTTGGTGATCTGTTGAGGATGTAAATTGTCGTGTTGACTGCTTCTGCCCACAAATTGTTGGGTAGCTTTTTTGCTTTGAGCATACTTCTCGCCATCTCCACAATCGTGCGGTTTTTCCGTTCTGCCACGCCATTTTGTTGTGGTGTGTAACGAACCGTCAGCTGCCTTTTTATCCCGTTGTTGCGGCAATACTCCATGAACGGAGTATAAATAAATTCTCCTCCACGATCTGTACGGAGAGTTTTGATTTGATGGCCACTTTCCTTCTCAGCTACTGCTTGGAATTGAAGGAATTTGGGAAAAGCTTCTGACTTTTGCTCCAGAAAGAATACCCACATCATTCTGGTGAAGTCATCTACAAATAGTAGAAAGTATCTTTTACCGCTGAGTGATTGTGTTCGAGTTGGACCACATATGTCTGCATGTACCAACTCCAGTGGCGCTTTTGCTCTCCAAGATGTCTTTGGAAATGGCAAACGATGCATTTTGCCATATATGCACCCTTCGCAGATTTTGTCTTCTCTGTTGATTTGGGGAAGTCCCACCACCATATTTTTCTGCCTCAGCAATTTGAGGCCTTTGAAGTTGAGATGACCGTATCTGAGATGCCATAGGAAGGATTGATCCAGATTTTCACTCTTGAATGCTACTTCACCATTTTGTGACATAGCAAGAGAGAAAATTCTGTTGGAAGTCATCGGGACTTTGGCCACCATGAAATTGTCTGCTTTGTTGATAATCTCGCACACGCCATTATCAAACAATAGCTTGTAATTTTTCAGCATCAGTTGTCCCACGCTAAATAGATTGAGAGTTAGCTCCGGAACATACAAAACATCTCGGATGAGAGTTTTGTTACCTTCTTCTGTGCATACAACAACTGTGCCTTTTCCTTCCACTTTTAGCTTCTTCCCGTCTCCCAATTTGACTTGAGAGCGGTATTTGTCATCGATGTCGGTGAAGGACTCCAGATCTCCAGTCATGTGGTTACTGCAACCACTATCCACCATCCAGGGAAGCTGTGATTTTTGCTCACCATTCAAGCATGATAAGGCCACCATATTGCTTTCTTCATTTTTGGTGCCGCTTGATTCGCCTTCTTCTTGCTTGTTCTGGAACCGGCAATCTCTCTGGGAGTGGTTTTGAATTCTGCACTTGGTGCACTTGAATCTGCAGTCTTTTGTTGCATGACCCGCCTTTTTGCAAATTATGCAACTCGAGCCGGTGTAGCCCGATCTTTGTTGTTGATAATTTTGTCTGTTGTTTCCTCTGTAATTGGATCTTCCTCTTCCTCTTCCTTGTGAGTTTCCCCCTCTCTGGCCTTGCTCCGATTTGGCATATTTACTTTCCGTCATGTTGACTTTTGACGAGAAAGCTTGCTCCAATGGCGGTTTGGTGAAGCGACTCATTCTTTGCTCGTGTGCTACAAGTGAGCCCATCAACTCGCTCATTGGTAGATTTGCCAAATCTTTGGTTTCTTCAATGACAGCAACAATATGCTCGAACTTTGATGACAAACTGCGGAGAATTCTCTCCACAATTTTTCTTTCTTCCATGACGTCACCAGTGGCTTTGATCTGGTTGACTGTCTCCGCCACACGCGAATGGAAGTCTTTAATGGTGTCGGTTTCCTTCATCATCAAGTTGTCAAACTGTCGCCATAAACTTTGTCGCCTGATGGAGATCGCCTTTTCAGAACCTTGGAATTGTTCACGCAAGACATACCAAGCTTCTTTGGCCTTTTTGATGCCATAGATTCTCGGGTAAATCGATTTGCTCACTGCTTGCTGAATTATTCTCAAGGCGCTGGCATTTTGCTTGGCATTCTCCTTGTACTCCTTTGTCTGTTTGCCTGCTCGTTTCTTGGAATCTTCATCCTCGTCTTGTGGATCTTCGTAGCCTTCTTGGACGATATCCCAAAGATCTTGAGAGATGAAAATAGGCTCCATTTGGGCACTCCAGTACTCGTACAATTCTCCATCGAAAATGGGAATTTGATTTGATGATGTAGCAAACATGGTGTGTGATGAATTTGTTGCCATGGCTTTTTGAGAAAATTGGGTAGGCTAGAAATTTGGGGATTTTTGAGAGGATAGAAGGGTATTAGCTCTGATACCAAATTTGTTGGGGATTAGCGGAAATGTGGTATGATTTAGGATCAACACAAAGGAAACATATGGTGTTTAATCACTCGATTTAAAATACACTCAAACAAACAATGCCTTATACTTTTGGCTATTGCTTTGAACAATCAGAGAAGATGCACTTGGCACACTTGTGCCTTTCTTTCTTTTCTTTTTCTTTCTCTGACACTACACTTCCACTCCCATACGTACAATATATATATATGGAAAAAGAACAATCAATGGCAATTACTACATAGGTCCATGTATACATTATTTTGGCTCCATCTTTCCTTGACATAATTGTAAGCTTATCCTTCCACCATTGATTAATTGCTGCCATGAGATGTGTCTGTAGGAAATCATCTACATTATTTGGATGTTCAAACATCTTCTCACCATGTGGACTTGTTGGATTGCATATAATTTGATAGATAGTTTCAACCCATGAGATAATGTGTTTGTCTCTTTGAGTTGATGGCCATGGGGCATAGTTTGGTGATGATTAATTACCAATTGCAAATTACCTTTTAACAGACAGCCACCCGAATCTTGCTTGGGAACTTGTGGCTCGCCTCCGTCACGCTCAGCCCGCCAGCGCTGTGCCCCACCACCACCACCTGCCAATTCCCAATCCATCCATTCCATTATTATAATCCCAACTCCAAAAACAATTTCATCGAACCCATCATCGCCGACAACAATTCTTCCGATCATCACCGATTAATTAATTAACTCAATCGTTCGTTGGTAACACATAAGAATACAATAACATCTTCATCACCTGCTCGTTCTCCGGCAGCCGGGTCGGGGGAGGAGGATGTCGGATCCGGGTCGGGCGAGGGTGGTGATAAGCGATCTAGCGGCGGCGGCTCTACTGTGGGTAAATCAATAAATCATCCTCTCTCTCATTTGGCAGAGATTGCGGGAAGCAAGTCTCGTTTTCTAAAAATAAAGAAATTAGGTTTTTTATTATTTTATTTTTTAATGAATGGAATAATGAGGTGGAAAATATAATTATTTTTTTTAAATAAATTTTTTTTGCCACGTCACTAAGTTAACGGTCAACTTTGAGAGTTGACTGACACATCAGCAAAAGTTAACGGAGTTGGATGGAGAGTGACCAAACATGAACGGTTTCAGTAAACTGAAGTACCACCAATGGATTTAAATATTTCGAGTGACCAAACTTGGACGTTTTTTGTAATCTCAGTGACCAACCATACAATTAACCCAAAAAACCTAGCTACCAATTGAGAGGGTTTTCCTACTTTGATATACATGAAATGAGGGAGTTTTAAACAAATAATGGGCTTGCAAACAACTAACCAGAACACATTCAAGCGCCGCTACAACTAACCAGAACACATTCAAGCGCCGCTGCATAGCGCGGCTAACCCCCTAGTATCATATGAAAACATCATATTGCTGATGTGCTCAAGAATTATAAAAACCTTACACGCTAAAATGTGGACCAATATCCATGATTCAGCTGTTTTACACACTAAAACCATCTACAAAATTGGGATCCTGTACTTGGTATACACAGTCCGACCGTAGACACGGTTTCTAAAACATTGGTGTAATGTTTACAACTCTGTTCATCTACTTCGTTTTGTTTTCTCAAGTATCCAATGATCCATTGGGGCGGTTAGGCAAACAAGATAGACCACAACCTCACTAAACCATATAGAAACCATGTATTGACGCAACACACCAAAAGCATATAAAGCCCCTATATTTCTGAAGTCATAATGCACCACAACTGAAATCCAGATCATTGCTTCTCCACCAGGTCCCATTGTCCCATCAGAGGATTGAACATCCACGTCTCTGCATCCTCACGCTGAGCTCCTTGATTTCCCTTTGAGCACTCCCAATATCCTGTCCAAGCTTATCAAGTTCCTTGTTTAACTGGGAGCGAGCAGAATTAAAATAATCCTCTAGCTTCTGCAAATCTTCCTTCAGGCGCTCTAGCTGCGTCTCCAGCTCATCCACAAAGTCCTTTACCTTCTTGTCCAAAAATTCAACACGATTAGTTGCTTGCATAGGTACGATGCTGAACAATATATCTAAAATATTAGAGCAATAGCTCCAAATGTGGCAATGTATCACAAGGACGAGGGAAATATACATCATTAGTCAAGCGTTGTAGCAGCTTTTCATAAAATCGATACATTTTCTTTTTCAAATTAATCACTTCCCGGCAAAGAGTTCACAGAAAGACCTGGAACATTCGGAAAATAGCCCCAAAGTCAGTAAGTGTCACAGGGAAGAGAGAAATATACCTTTTCAGTCATGTGTTTTAGCAGTTCTTCATTCAATTTATTTGTATCTTCTTTCAGATTGTTCGCCTTCTCCCAAGAATTCCCATAAACAACCGCAGATGGATCATCATCCCTCTTAAGAAACAGGTTCTACAAATACCAATAACCGATTAAGTACAACATCATAGGGCTGAAGTTTTTGTGCGAAGAAAAAGAGACATACACGCACCGGAGAGAATGCTTGTCGGCCGAATGGTTTTCCACCATTCCGTTTAGTGACAATTTCTACAAGTTTCAGAAGCTTCGAGAGCTGAACACTTCTCTTATTCTCATCTAAGGTATTGCAGTCAAACACCATGAATCGATTATCACAAGAGTTGAGAAGGATCTGCAGGAAACCAGTACAAATAATCATTTCTAGTCTACCGAAGCAATAAACTCCAGAAAATGCTACAATAAGAAAGTTGAAAATTAACCTGCAAAGATTCAGGGGGACCAGGCCCTAGAAAGTCGTCCAGAGTTTGACCGTCTCTTTCAAGATCATCCCCACCGGTGAAGACCACAACCAGGGAATTATACATATTCCACCCAAATATGGACGTTAGAGCTAGAATTCCTTCAGTTTCCGCTTTTGTGAAGCGATTATTCACAGAGAGTACAAGAATCAGGGCATGGATCTCATCTTTCGCCATTTCAAAGCATTTGCGAATTTCGCTATCGACTACATCAGACTTGAGCGAGTGACCAAAATGTCCTACCAAGAAATAACTCCTATCAATTTAAAGCTCTAACAATAGGGAGAAAGCAGGCATCATCATAATATGCAGCTAAACAGGACATCAAAAGAAAAAGCACCGAGATATGAATATCCAGCTTCGTACCAGGAGTATCGATAATTCTGAGCATCCCACCATCTGGCAACAGACCTTCCTCCAACGCACAATTAAGGGTAACACCACAAGGACTAGCCTCGGAAGGGAAAGCATTCCTCCCAAGAATGCAATTACCAAGTGCACTCTTCCCGTTACCACTTCGACCAATTAGCACAAGCGTTTTCTGATTCTGATCCGGATTCTGAACTCTCACACCTTGCTTTGAATACGTTTTCACCATTCTGGCAAACCTAGAGCATGAGGTAAGTTAATTAATGAGACTTATAAATATAAAAGAACGATGCCCATTCAGTAACGTAACCCTAAAAGAAACCTAACAAGAACGCTGCAGCAAAACGAAAATCCTAATAGAGTAGGTAATCCAAGAAATCACGAAAACCTGGGAGGATTCCTTAGGGTTGAGAATCGAAATTACGAGACAAGAGATTATCTAGAATCCGAAAACCCTGGAAGAGTTTCTCAAGGAGTAAAACTCGACAACTCGAGAATCGACGGGACGGAACAGAACAGAAGTTTGAGTTGCGTCGGTCACCTCGTCTGGTTCGCGAGAAAAATTTCAGAGGTAGACGATTTGGTGAACTCCAGTCGAGGAGAGCTTAAGCGGGACTGCGGGAGAGGGAAGGCTGCAGCGGGGTCTACTGTAGAGGTTGGTTATGCTGCTAACTTGGGCCGGGTCGTAATTGGTACGCCTCTCTCACTCTTACTCAACTGCAGGCTTTTGGTATGGAGGAATGGGCCTTGGACATTTTTAGCATGTTGTTTAATCAAAGGCTAACAACAAATTGTAACAACGTTTGGCCAAAATAGGGTTTTGGGAAAGCAACTTACCCTCTCCCCTTCTTCTCATTCATATATATAGTCTGATACAATTGAGACATCCAGCTATGCTGGTGAAAACAAGAAAAAACAGAGAAGACAAACAAACAGTAAAAAGAATCGCTTTAGATCGTTGCAAAAGGAACTCTTCTATTGGTAGGTGAATCGTCAATCTCCATTCGACACGTGGCTACGGGATTCTTCATATGTTGCTGAATGACGACGTCTCGATAAGAAGCAGGTCTGTGAGAAGAAGAAAAATCTGTGGTTTTTTCTTGTCATGCTATTACCCCCCACTCCCCCCCCCCCCCCCACAAGCTGGAGGGTACAGGTTGAGTACTCCCAACTTGGAAAGGAGACCAGTGAACAAGGCAGGAGACAAGGTTTTAGTAAACAGGTTAGCAAGCTGGTGATCAGAAGATACATGAAAGAGTTTGATGATGCCATGAAGCAGTTTTTCACGAACCAAATGACAATCTAACTCAATGTGCTTGGTCCTCTCGTGAAATGAAGGATTTCAGCAATATAAATGGCTGATTGACTGTCACAATAGAGATTGGCTGGGTGAGGATGAGGGAGCTGGAAATCCTTGAGAAGATATAAGAGCCACTGAACTTCACAAGTAGCATAGGCTAGGGCTCTATATTCTACTTCACATGATGACCGTGAAATTGTTGTCTGTTTCTTTGATTTCCAAGAAACCAGAGAACCACCAAGGAAAACACAGTAGCCAGTAATAGAGCTTCTAGTGTCTGGACAATCACCCCAATCAGAATCACTAAAGGCTTTGATTGTCAAAGGAGAAGTGGCAAGGAAGAACAAACCATAACCTGGATTCTTCTTGACATAATGAAGGATTCTGTTGACTGCTTTCTGATGAAGGACAGAAGGAGCACTCATGAACTGACTAACCTGCCGAGTGGCAAAACTAATGTCTGGACGAGTGGTGGTCAAGTAGATAAGCTTCCCAACCAAGCTTCTGTAAGCTATGGCATCAACCTTGTCACTACCATCATCAACACTTAAGTGAACTTTGTAATCCATGGGAGTTGTCACTAGTTTGGCACCTAAATGTCCTGCTGCTGTGAGTAACTCCAATGCATACTTCCTCTGTGAGAGGTGAATACCCTTAGGGGTTCTGGCCACTTCAAGTCCAAGGAAAATTTTAAGATCACCAAGGTCCTTTATACTGAACTGCTGATGAAGACAGGATTTGATCCTTGTAATCTCAGTCATGTCATTCCCCCCCCCACCCCACAATGAGATCATCAACATAAATCAAAATGGCAGTGTAGGAAGTATCGGTGACACGCGTGAAGGGAGAATGATATGCAGGACTGGATTTATAACCTTGAGTAGATAAACTGTCAGAGAGCTTGGCAAACCACTGCCCCGAGAGGTCTGTTTAAGGCCATAAAGAGATTTGTGTAGCTTACAAACTGGATTAGGCATGTTGGGAGGGCCAAAAACACCAGGGGGAGGGCCATTTACACTTCCTCGTCTAAATCCCCATGTAAGAAGTCATTGTTGATGTGTAATTGGTGTAGGAACCAGTTTCTAACAGCTGCAATTGCCAAGAACAATCTGACTGTTGTCATTTTCACAACAGGAGCAAAAGTATCCTGAAAATCTATACCTTCAGTTTGAGTAAAGCCATTGGCAACCAAGCGTGCCTTGTATCTTTCAATTTCACCTGTGGATAGGTATATGATCCGGTAAACCCATTTACAGCCTATTTTCTTCTTGCCTGGAGGAAGGGATACAATGGTCCAAGTGCCATTATTCTCCAATGCAAGGACTTCAGACTGCATTGCATCATTCCAGAATTCATACTTGACTGCTTGCTCATAAGATTCTGGTTCTGTATGAGCAGAAATGGATAACGCAAAATGCTTGTGGGCAGGTGATAATTTAGTGTAGGAGAGACAAGAATCAATGGGATACCTTTCTTTCCTTGATTCTGTGGGACAAGTCTGAGATGCAAATAACTGGGATCTGCGAGTGACCAAGTTCTCACATTCATAATGACTCAGATGGCTAGGTGGTTTGACAACTCGAGGGGGAAGAACTCGAGGGGATCCTATTTCATTAGAAGCAAGAGGAGTGCCAGGACTTGAAGGAAGATGGATAGAAGATGGAGTTTCTGGTGGACTCTCACCATCATCCTCAAAGGCAGAATCAACTTGTGGTGAAGATGGAGGAGGAAGAGGAACTGATGGTATGTAAGTTGGATCATCATCAGTCATGATTGGGACACTGGGAGTAGATGCAGGAGAACTAGTGGTGTGAGAATTATCAAAAGGAAAGATTGACTCATGAAAAATGACATCACGTGAATGAAAAACATCATGATTTTCTAGATCATATAGCCTATAACCTTTGATCCCAGTAGTGTAGCCTAGAAAAATATACCTCCTAGACCTGGATGAAAACTTTGTTCAATTACTGGGAAGAGTGGATGCAAAACATAGGCAACCAAATACTTTGAGAAAACTGAGGTCGGGAGGTTTCTCATGAAACCGTTCATAGGGAGAAAGATCCCCTAGAATGTGTGATGGTGTTCTGTTTATTAAGAAGACAACATGTTTAACACAGTCTGACCAAAATTCTAATGGTAGTTTTGCCTGAAACTTAAGGGCTCTGGCAACTGCTAATATATGTTGATGCCTGCGCTCAACCTTAGAATTCTGTTGAGGTGTTTCAACGCAAGATAGTTCACGAATGACACCCTTTTTAGAGAAAAATTCAGGCATGTTAAACTCATTTCCTTGGTCACTGCGAAGCCTTTTAACTTTAGTTGAAAACTGTGTTTCTACCAAGTTAAAGAATGAAACAAGATGGGGTCTGGCTTCTGACTTTTGTTTCATCAATATGACCCATGTTAATCGACTATAGTCGTCTACTATAGTGAGGAAGTAGCGAAAACCATCATGAGAAAAATGTGATAATGGACCCCATATATCAACATGGAGCAGTTCAAAAGCCTTTGTAGTAGTACTTTGACTTACAGGAAAAGATAAACGTTTTTGCCTGGCGAAATGGCATACATCACAACTGTTGTTGTGTTCTATATCTATACTGGGATCTATTCTTTTGAAAAAAGGAACTCTAGACTGGGAAATGTGACCTAACCTATAATGCCACAGATTGAAAGTTGTGCTTGAGGCAACAACCTTTATAGGACTATTGACATGACTCCTATCCATTTTGTAGAGACCATGGTGAAGCTCAGCAGAACCAATCATTTGCATCTTCGACATATCCCGAATGAAACAAAAACAAGAAAAGAAAGTTAAGCATAGAGTGCTCTTGTTGGTCAATTTACTCACATACATCAAATTGAAACTGAAATTTGGAACACACAGCACATCTTCCAATAACAGATTTTTTGAGAACTGTACACATCCAATTCGTGTAGCCTTTACTGTGTGACCTGTTGGCAATTTAATTTGTACATTGTTCACTGGTTTGGTTTTGGCAAACATCTTGGCATCACATATGACGTGATTTGAGGCGCTAGTGTCAAGTATCCAAACTTCCTCATTAGTGTGTGAATCATGAGGTAAGATCGATAAGGTATACTTGCCTGCATCATTGTATTGCTTACTGATAAAAGCTGCTGTTGAATGTGCTGGAAGGTTGGTATTCTGGTTTGTAGGGTTGGAGACTCCATTGCTTGACTCAGTAGACTTCAGGAGCTTCATTTCTTCCCAGATCGTGATCAAGTCAGTATGATATTCAGACAATGTTCTGCTCCCTTGCTTCAGGGTACACAGTTGTTCTTTCAATTCCACAATCCTAATCAAATCTCCTGAGCATATCTGAGTTTTAGGTTTTTCATACCTCAGCGGCAGTCTGGATACTTCGCACGCTCTTTCCAATTACCTCATCAACGGACTGTAAGATCCAGCTCTTGACCATACTGTTGCAGCTTGTCCAGGGCCAGGCCATCGCATCTCCCGCTTCTGGCTTGGGGATGCTTCCATCTATGAAACCTAACTTGTTTTTGGATGCAAGTGCGTCGATCATAGTGGTGCTTCAGTCATTGTAGTTGTGAGGAGTGAGCTTTTGAGGAACCAGAATCTGCCCTGGCTGCTCAGACCCATGGAGGTAATAGAGATATGAGAGCGGGTACCTAGTAGCAAGATGATTGGTGGTTGTGTTTGTGGATGCAGAAGGATCGATGACAGTGTTGGTGTCATCGTTGGTAGCTTGTGTAGCCATTGTTGGCTGAGCTCAACAATTGCAGAAAAACTGCAGAAAAGAAGAAGAAGAGAAGAAGGTGGATGAGCAAGGTCAGGGTTCAAAATCCTAACCAGGCTCTGATACCATAACAATTAACAACGTTTGGCCAAAATAGGGTTTTGGGAAAGCAACTTACCCTCTCCCCCTTCTTATCATTAATATATATAGTCTGATACAATTGAGACATCCAGATGTGCTGGTGAAATGAAGTAGTGAAAACAAGGAAAAACAGAGAAGACAAACAAACAGTAAAAAGGGTCGCTTTAGACAGTTGCAAAAGGAGCTCTCCTATTGGTAGATGACTCGCCAATCTCCATTCGACACGTGGCTACGGGATTCTTCATATGTTGCTGAACGACGACGCCTCGATAAGAAGCAGGTCTGTGAGAAGAAGAAAAACCTGTGGTTTCTTCTTGTCCTGGTATTAAATTGTATGAAATCATAACCAGGTCGTTCATGAAATGCGAACGATAACAGAAATTTGGGCCCTCATTCAAGTAATAGCTATAGTTTTCATAAAATACTATTTTAATTACAATATAT